GTATCTGGTTCCTGAAAATAGCCTGAACAATTAAGGTAACTTTTGTATTTCTGAAAGAGCCAGGCCATACTCAAATATATGTAAATCAGTCGGGAGCACCCGGTTCATGTCCTTGGCAATAAGTCTCAGGAAAGGCGGGAGCATGATGAAGTCTTCACCCCCCTACACCTTCTGAGGTCTGATGCTTGCACATGTAGTGGGCCACGTGGGCTTTCGGATATAAAAATGACCACCTGTGGAACCTCATGGCCTCCTCAGCTGTGGTGCTATTGGCAGCACACATAGCATTAAGCTTATAGCCCACCTAAGTGGATCTGCCTGGACAGGGGGAGACTGGCAGTAAGTAGGGTCCCATTGTGTCCCTTGCTCATGAAGAGGGCTCACATGGGAGAGTTCTTTACTGTATTTTTATGGAAATAACACGCGCCTTCTATAATTTGTCAACCAAGCCCACCCCTATGAGGTACTTCCATAAACGCTGCTTTGCAAATTTTTTTTACATGTTGCTGTGAAAGAATTTTGCATAGCATGCTTATGAAAATACCTTGCAAGGGCAGGGCGTGATCAGCAAACAAAAGTAGAAGGCATGCATTATTTGAGTACAAATATGGTATATCCACCAGGAAAATTTCGAGAGGTCAGGGGGATGGCGTGTCATACAACTGTCTCATTTAAGTCCCTCATCCACAACACAAAGTGAGGTGTGTGTGGAATTTGTCATCTCCACCCAGACTGCTTTTGAGCTGGGGGAGTCAACTCCTGTATGCTGTCGGCTTCTTGTTGTAAGTAATAAAAGCTACTTTCCATATGCTAATGTGTGTTCAAGCTCTCATCAGAAGAATGTGATAGAAATGGAGCAATTCATATTAGTTATTGGCACCCTTTTTCTAATGGCCTATCTAGAAACTGGGGACCACCTGTGAGTATCACACAATTTTGGCACGCTGTCCTACAGCTTATATGTGCCAGGCACTCTCTAATCTCTTTTTACAAATATCTTTCTTATTTAAATTCTCCTATCAATCTAAGTAATTAGGTACTATTGTTATCCGAGGGGAGTCCTGGGTGGCATAAATGGTTAAGCGCTTGACTACTAACTGAAAGGTTGGCAGCTTGAACCTACTCAGAGAAGCCTAGGAAGAAAGGCCTGGCAATCTTTCTGAAAGGTCGTAGCCTTGAAAACCCTGTGGAGCACAGTTCTACTCTGCAACAAATGGTGTTTCTGTGAGTCAGAATCGACTTGACGGCAAGTGGTTTGGTTTATTATTATTCCCATGTTTTACATATAAGAAAACCAAGGCCCAAAGCTGTAAAATGTCCAAAGTCACACAGCCAGTACATAGGATTTGATTCAAGCCCAGACAATCTAAGGATCTAAAGAACTTGTGCTCTTAACAACTACAATTAGGCTTTAGAATCAGATAACCACCCCTCCACTCCCTCCCCGAAAAAAAGCCAAACCAGTTGCCATTGAGTTCATTATGACTCATGGAGACCTGTGCTCCGTACAGTTTTCAAGGCTGTGACTTTACAGAAGCAGATTGCCAAGCCTTTCTTCCAAGGCATCTCTAGGTGAGTTTGAACCACCAACTTTTCAGTTAGTTTATGTCATCCAGGACCCTTTTGGAATCAGATAGACCTTATGTGAACATCTTACTAATGTTATGCTATTGGTTCTTCCCCCGCAAAAGAACTAGTTTCAATTTATTTCCTGATTATTAAAAAAATACATGCTCAGTGTAATAACATTTAAACAATACAGAAAAGAATTTTTTTTTTTTTAAGAAAACTAACTTTAAATGTCACCATTCAGAGACAACCACTGAAAACAGATCCTTTCTTAAAGCACATACACGTATTTATCATGATGAAGACCCAGGGTAATGGAGGAAATCTCACAGCAAAGTTGTAAGCCTTCTACCAAGCCGAGGCTTGCATTTGCTTCCAGATAAAAGTTCCTGCTATAGTGGGGCAACTGCATCTATGGGCTTTTGTTGAGGAAATGCAGTGTGAACTGAGAAGTTTGAGGGTTGTGGCTCTGAGGAGATAGCTTGTTCTGCATAATAATGTAAAACTGGTCTCCATGGAGAGCAGTCCTGCCCTTCTGCTGTTTTCAGGAAGTTAGGGGGGTAATTCGTTTAAAAACCAAGATAGTATTTCTTCCTCTTTGAAGTTGTATATTTACAGCCGGAATTGTACAAACAACCACAAGATGTCCCCAAGTTTGCTTGCTTGCAAGGCCCTTCTTTTTTCAGTGTTCAAAACTCTGACAGTCTAGCTCACAGAGACCCAGAAGAAGAGGAGGCAGACCCACAGCCTGGTTATCACCTCAAGCGGGAGGAACTTCAACTTTTTTTTTATTATTGTACTTTAGATGAAGGTTTACAGAACAAACTAGTTTCTCGTTAAACGTACACATATTGTTTTACGACATTGTTTAACAATCTCATGACATGTCAATGCTCTCCCTTCTCGACCTTGGGTTCCCTATTACCAGCTTTCAAGTCCCCTCCTGCCTTCGAGTCCTTGTCCCTGGACTGTTGTGCCCCTTTAGTCTCATTTTGTTTTATGGGCCTGTGTAAGCTTTGGCTAAAGGGTGAACCTCGGGAGTGACTTCATTACTGAGCTAAAAGGGTGTCCAGGGGCCATACTCTCTGGATTCCTTCAGTCTCTGTCAGGCCAGTAAGTCTGCTCTTTTTCTGTGAATTAGAATTTTGTTCTACATTTTTCTCCAGCTCTGTCTGGGACCCTCTATTGTGATCCCTGTCAGAGCAGTCAGTGGTGGTAGCTGGGTACCATCTAGTTGTACTGGACTCAGTCTGGTGTAGGCCGTGGTAGTTGTGGTCCATTAGTCCTTTGGACTAATCTTTTCCTTGTATCTTGTTTTCTTCATTCTCCCTTGCTCCCAAAGAGGTGAGACCAGTGGAACATCTTAGATGGCTGCTTACAAGCTTTTAGGACCCCAGACGCTCCTCACCAAGGTAGAATGTAGAACATTTTCTTTACAAACTATGTTATGCCAGTTGAGCTAGATGTTCCCCAAGACCATGGTCCCCACAGCCCTCCACCCAGGGAGTTTGGATGTGTCTATGGATCTTCCATGATCTTGCCTTGTCCAAGTTGTGCTGGCTTCCCCAGTATTGTGTACCATCTTACCCTTCACCAAAGTTACCACTTATCTATTGTCTATTTAGTGGAACTTTAACTATTGATTATCACTACCTTAATCAAAAAGTTGCCTCTAAGCCCCAGACAAGATGCTTATCCTAGGCCAATGTAATGAAAAAGAATGCTAGTAGAAATTAGGCAACCTGGAAAATATTTGTGACTACATATGAGTATTTCCTGAGATAATTTCTTTGTGTGTGTGGCAACAATAAGAATTCTATCTTGTGGTTCTATAATCCTTCTTTACCTTTTAAGAGTTTCCATCAGAAATACCTCCCCCACCCCATTCCATTCACCATATCTCTTGATTTTCTAAAGACAGGTGTTTCCTAAAACCAGATCACACCCCACACGTTCTTAAAAATCCTCCAATAACTTCCCATTACTGTGGTGATAAAATGCAAATCATTGGCAGAGTCCAGAAGTCCTCCCTGATCTTACTTTTAACCTTCCTCTCCAACTGGCATGAAAGCATCATTTGGCTTGTGATTTCCACAAGGCCAGGTATCATGTTTCCTATCAATCATAATCAATACCTAAAGACCGCATCTACAGACAGAGACATCGGTGCAGTGGTTCCTTCTCTATTCTTCGCATCACACCAGGTTTCCTACTTCACAACTGGACATGTAATTCCTTTCCCCCTAATTCCCTTCATTTCTCCATCCCTTTTTTCACTTGATCAATACCTAGCTGATTCCAGCACCAGGGAATACCTCCTCTGCTGTAGGAGGCCATCCCTGCCTTTCTCAGAATGGGTTAAGGACCCTCTCTTGTGATTCCTTATCTCCTGGTGCTTTCCTCTATCCAGATCTTCAACCCCCTGTGTTGTAAATGTCCTTCTCACCATCACACAGCTTTTATCATTGTGAGCTCCTTGAGGGTGGGACTGCGTTTTTCTCTCTATATTACCAAGCCTAATACACAGAACAGGAATTGAATATGTGTTGAATTAACATGGAGTTCCTGGGTAGTGCAAATGGTTAATGCACTCGGCTGCTAACCGAAAGGTTGAAGGTTCAAGTTCACCCAGAGGCACCTTGGAAGAAAGTTGTGGCCATCTAGAAAAAGCAACCATTGAAAACCCTATGGAGCATAGTTATACTATGATACACTGGGTTCACCATGAGTCAGAGTCAACTCAGCCGAACTGGTTGTTGTTTTTAATCAATATTTAACTAGCTCACTTGACCCTCCCAAACGTCTGTAATGCAGGCAAAAGAAAAGTTCCCATTAGCCTCATGCAATAGGCAGCTGAGGCTCAGTGAATTCAATGACTTGTCCGAGTTCTTACAGCTAGTTATGAACAGACCTTAAACTAAAATCTTTATTTGAGACTGACGCTCTTTCTGTTTGCTCTTTCTCTCTCTCTTACTCACTCTTTCTCTCTCCCTCTCACTCTTTCTCTTTCTGCCCTCTTACACACACACACATGCACGTTTCCACCTTCGTGAATGAATTCTAAGTTATAATATTAACTAGATTTGTCAACCACTGTGTGCTGATACAACTCTAAAGAAAAGTTTTGTTTTTCTTTTAATACTTTGCAAGACATTTATAGAAGGAAAAATGTGATTTTATTTAATCACCATAATCCTCCATAAAAAAATAGAGACTTGTTTACTCTGGAATTTCTTTTGGGAAGAGCTCCCAACTCAAAAGAGTCTGATGAAGCCTCATAAACATCTATGTTGTAATAGGCGCTGTGTCACAGAGAACCACTGAAAAGACAGGGTTAAGAGCACAAAATAAGCTGCAAACCATATATGGGGAAACCCGTTTCTTCAAACTTGTGATGAACTCATGTTCTGCTTTCTGTTTTGTCAAAGCTGAAGTCAGCCGTGCTCCGTATATAACTGCGGGCTGAAACCTGTGAAGGAGGCAAGCACACTCTCCGAACCTGTGATCGGCTCCATCTCAGCCTGCGGGGCTTCATGCCTGTCAGAAAGACAGACCATGCGAGCGACACTTGCTGTGACAGCCTGGATGGTCTCTTTAGTCTCTTGTTACTCATATACCTCGACTACTTTGCCAGATATTGAAAATGAAGATTTCATCCAAGACTGTGTTCGAATTCATAACAAGTTCCGCTCAGAAGTAAACCCAACAGCCAGTGATATGCTGTACATGGTAAGGAGAATATCAGTACTGGTGGCATAGTCAGTCAAAAACAGCTTTTGTGTGTTGATTTGGGGCAGAAGACCTTGGTAACCCTGCATGACTTTTTTGTTGTGATTAATGCCGGCAGTAAATTCACAATGTGTGATCGGGACACTCCCAATTTAGCTCTGTCTACCTAACTCTTGTTGGAAGCGAGCTCCACAAGGGCATTTTACTTCTCTTTGTGGACACTTCCTCTCCTCTGGTCTTGAGTAGATTTTACTGCTTTTTTTTGATATTTTTTCCCCGTTAATTTTTGTGAGTTTCTTTTCATGTCTAAGTTCACTGTTTTTGTTGCTGGCAGAGAATCATTTTTCTCTGGAAAGCAGCATGACAGCTGGGGGAAAGGTCGGGATTTTAATTCAGTTGGGTGTGGGTTTGAATCTCAGCTCTGTGGCTTTGAGCTGGTTTTTTAACTTCCGGGTTTTTTGGGGTATAGGCCCTTGTGGTTATTAAATTATATAATATATATGAAACAGTGCGCAGTATTTTACACATAATAGTCCCTCAGTGATATGTAGATCTGTTTCCTTCTCTTAGAGTCTAAATTCAACAAAAGCATGTCATTGTATTTCCTGCCAGGCAGCCCCAGTCTGTACTTAACAATCATGCTTATAGAGACAACCCATGTGTAGGGTTTCCTTCTCTGCCCTTGTTATCACACCCTCTTTTCCATTCAAATTCCCACTCTGCTCACCCCAGTTACACTGTTGGGTAACAGTTTCCTTTCTTTGACACGTCCTGTTATTTAATACTTATTTTGCAGACTTGGGACACAAAACTAGCCCAAATTGCAAAAGCCTGGGCAAAAACTTGCCAGTTTAAACATAACGAACAGCTGAAGCCACCCCACAAGCTACACCCAAACTTCACTTCGCTGGGAGAAAATATCTGGACCGGATCTGTATCCATATTTTCTGTGTCTTCAGCCATCACAAACTGGTACAGTGAAATCAAGTACTATGACTTCAAGACTCGGAAATGCCAGAAAGTCTGTGGCCATTATACTCAGGTAAGTATCTGCCCTATAATCTCCTTAAACTATCATTTCAAGGGTAAGGAGAAAACTGGAATCTTATGTTGAGAATATACAGGTAGTCCCTGACATACAACATATTCGAGTTACAACAAATCATATTTAAGGACTGTCTTTTTTTTTTAAACATCTTATCATTAGTAATATGTACTGCATACAGTGTTAAAATATATCTGTGAGTTTATATGTAATGTTTCCAACCCCCAAAGACAAATAAAAATCAGATTTATAAAGATACTGATAATAAAAGAACAAAACAAATAAGGTATTCAATTTTCAGAACCAACTTAGGATGGAGTTGACAGGACGGAACCCCATCATAAGTCAGGGACTACCTGTATGTACATAGTAAGCTAGTGTGCCTGTAAATATTAGGGAGTAGGGGCTACAGGCTTACTTTAAAAAATAAAATAAAATAAAAATAACTAAAACATTTTTTTAAAATAAAGGAATGGACTCCAATATCAGAGGGGATAGTGTTGAAAAGTTAAGTGGTCAAAGGTAGGATTTAAGGCCCACCAATCTGGACAGAGAGCCCTGGTGGCACAGTGGTTAAGAGCTCAGCCGCTAACCAAAAGGTCAGCAGTTTGAATCCACCAGCCGTTTCTTAGAAACCCTATGGGTCACTATGAGTCAGAATTGACTTGACAGCAATGGGTTTTTAATGGTTTTAATCTAGACAGGCTTTAAATAACTCTGGTAACAAACTATCATCACATGGGGCTTTATTCCATTTGTGAGCAATCAAAAGATCTTATGACTGAATTGATTTCCAGGTTCTAGCTGGCATGAGTCCTCTATGAAATTTGAGGCAGTTGTTTTGGAACTATAAAATTGGGAGAAATAGCCTCTCAGACAACAGTAAGAACTGATGCTTCCACAACCTCTCATTCTTTCAAACATTAAGCATCTTTTGTGTGCCAGGCCCTCTGCCATATGAGGAGTTAAAAACAGTCCCAGACTCAATGGGGAGGCTAACACAGAAAAACTTATATAAATGGTCCTGTGGTTATTCTGTCCCTCAAATCCACTGTATTAGTCCCAACAGCCATATTTAAAGCCTCCTGCTGAGATTCTTTTTATTCCAACTGGTTTTGGCTTCAAGCCTGACCCCTAACTCAAGTTTGCAACAGGATGAAAACAATCCCTAGCTAGCATCTTCTCTAGTCTTAATATGCTGCTTTTCTGTCCTAGCAACATTTTGCTGGCTTCCTTTTATTTCCTGGCAGTCTTTGTCAAACCAAGAGCTAAAGAGACTGAATTTATGATAACTGGTTTCAACTACAGTAATCTGCTGAAGTATGAGGATAAAAGCATTTTTAACATTGTTGTTTTTAGCTACCATGGAGGCAGCCCCCGACTCATCATGACTCCATGCACAACAGGATCAGACTGTTGCAGGAGACCCAGGTTCAGTTCCTGGCCAATGCACCGAAAGCTCAGCTACCACTCGTCTGTCAGTAGAGGCTTGTGTGTTGCTGTGATGCTGAACAGGTTTCATCAGAACTTTGAGGTTAAGTCAGACTAAGAAAAAAGGCTTGGCAATCTACTTCCAAAAATCGGCCAGTGAAAACCCTATAGGTTTTTAAAATTAGGGTTTTAAAGAGCAAAGTGTTGTTAAAAAGCCTCTCACTCCAGCTCCACCTTATAAAGCCCCCAATTCACTGCTGTTGTTACAGTTACAAACAAATTTGGCCCAGATATATGAGATGACCACAATGAGAGGAGAAAGACTGATTTTTCTTTTTTTTTTAATTGTGCTTTAAATGAAAGTTTACTGTTCAAGTTAGTTTCTCATACAAAAATTTATACACACACTGTTATGTGACCCTAGTTGCTCTCCCCATACTGCAACAGCACACTCCTCCTTTTCACCCCGGATTTTCCGTGTCCATTCAACCAGCTCCTGTCCCTTTCTGCCTTCTTTCTTGCCTCTGGACGGGAGCTGCCCATTTAGACTCACGTATCTACTTGAGCTAAGAAGCACACTGTTCATGAGTATCATTTTCTGTCTTATAGTCCAGTCTAATCTTTGTCTGCAGAGTTGGCTTCGGGAATGGTTTTAGTTTTGGGCTAACAGAGTCCAGGGGCCGTGTCTTCCGGGGTCCCTCCAGTCTCAGTCAGACCATTAAGTCTGGTCTCTGTAGTAGAATTTGAGTTCTTGCACCACTTTTCTCCTGCTCCATCAGGGACTGTCTGTTGTGTTGCCTGTCAAGGCAGTCATTGGTGGTAGCCGGGCACCATCTAGTTCTTCTAGTCTCAGGCTGATGGAGTCTCCGGTTTATGTGGCCCTTCTGTCTCTTGGACTAATATTTTCCTTGTTTCTTTGGTGTTCTTTATTCTCCTTTGCTCCAGGTGGTTTGGGACCAATTGATGCATCTTAGATGACTGCTAGCTAGCTTTTAAGACCCCAGACGCCACTCACCAAAGTGGGATGCAGAACATTTTCTTAGTAAACGTTGTTATGCCAACTGACCTAGATGTCCCCTGAAAGCATGGTCCCTAGAACCCTGTCCCTACTACTCTGTCCCTCACAGTGTTTGGTTCTATTCAGGAAACTTCTTAGCTTTGGTTTAGTCCAGTTGTGCTGACTTCCCCTCTAGTGTGTGTTGTCCTTCCCTTCACCTAAGATAATTCTTGTCTACTATCTAGTTAGTGAATTCCCCTCTGCGCCCTCCTAACCATCAAAGGATGTTTTCTTCTGTGTTTAAATCTTCTTCTTGAGTTCTTAAATAGTGGTTTTATACAATATTCCTCCTTTTGTGACTGACTGATTTCACACAGCATAATACCTTCCAGATTCATCCATGTTATGAGATGTTTCATGGATTCATCATTATTCTTTATTGTTGTGTAGTATTCCATTGTGTGAATATACCATAATTTGTTTATCCATTTGTCCTTTGATGGGCACTTATGTTGCTTCTATCTTCTTGCTATCGTGAACAGTGCTGCAATGAACATGGGTGTACATAAATCTATTTGTGTGACAGCTCTTATTTCTCTAGGATATATTCCAAGGAGTGGGATTGCTGGATTGTATAGTACTTCTATTTCTAGCTTTTTAAGGAAGTGCCAAATCGATTTCAAAAGTGGTTGTACCATTTTACATTCCCACCAACAGTATATAAGTGTTCCAGTCTCTCCACAACCTCTCCAACATTTATTATTTTGTGTTTTTTGGATTAATGCTAGCCTTGTTGGGGTGAGATTGTATCTTATTGTAGTTTTGATTTGCATTTCTCTAATGGCTAATTGTTGTGAGCATTTCCTCATGTGTCTGTTAGCCGCCTGAATGTCTTCTTAGGTGAAGTGATTGTTCACACCTTTGTCTGCTTTTTAATTGGGTTATTTGTCTTTTTGTTGTTGAGGTTTTGCAGTAGCTTGTGGATTTTAGAGGTTAGAGCCTGATCAGATTTGGAAAAGACTGATTTCAGTGTAATCTCCATCTCAAAGTTTTTTGTTAGCCAAGAGGGGTTATCTACCAAGTCATCGATAGCATTGGTTCCTTTCTTGGACATATGAATAGGTTACTCCAAGACGTATCCAATACACTAACAATTTTGGTTTATGCTTACAAGTAAATTTAACCAGAAATAAATTCCTTTGGATTCCCACATGTCCTACAAGGCAAGAAAGGTAAGTCCAGATTGCTTAGGGGTGGTAATAGGTACCATTGCCCATAAACCTGTAACAGGTTGCTGTCGAGTCAATTCCGACTCACAGCGATCCTATAAGACAGAGTAGAACTGCCCCATAGGGTTTCCAAGGAGCAGCTGATGGATTTGAACTGCTGAGCTTTTGGTTAGGAGGCAAATGCATAACCACTGGGCCACCAGGGCTCCACCATTACCCATAGTGGTGTTTGTCAGTTGAGAGGTGAAGATTCTCATTTGTTCAGCCAATGTGTAAGCTCCTCCTCTACAGCAAGTACTTTGTAAGGCATTGGTGCTATATCTTAGTTGAGATTCCCTAGAAAACGGTCTGAGGTGCAGGGCTGAGATGGCGGAGTAGTCAGACGCTTCCAGCCATCCCTCTTACAACAAAGACCTGAAAAAACAAGTGATTCTATTATATATGACAATCTAGGAGCCCTGAACATCAAAGGCAAAGTTGAGGAATCGGAGTGAGTGGCAGGGGGAGGGAGAGACGGTTCGGAAGCAGCCAGGAGTTGCCAGACCTGACCTGGCTGTAGACGGAGACCTTCAGGCCGGATCAGCTCATGGTGTATGGTGAGGCAGGCAAGCAGCAGTGCTCAGGAGGTGTTTTCCACACCAGGAGAGACCCAACAGCAGAGCGTCTACTCAGCCATGAAGAACCAGTGAGAAGCAGCCCTCGATCAGCAAAAGATAAGTACTTGTGTCTGGCCTACCGTGCAGATCAAAAACACCCCTCTTTGGGAAAAGCCTCTCTCCAGTTTACCTCCTGACTCCCTGCTCTGCACTGGGTCTGGGACAACATTGGTGATTGCCGAGTCCCCGGGCTAGAAGTAGGACCCATCATGCGCCCTGAGACATTCTCCCAGCCTTGGAAAGGGAACAAATTAACAAACAGGTGAAAACATAATCTGCCATCTCCCCTAAGCCAGGAACTCAGGGCAAGGCACCACTCCTTTGCCTAGGCACAGGCATAAGGGGTCCACGGATTTGAGTGCCTCTATCCCTGCATAGACTTGCGTGGGCCCATTTTAACAGTGTAGGCCCTCATTACCACAGTACAACAAGGTATATACTGAAGTCTAACTTCAACTGTTTCAGCTGTGAATTGGGAGGTTCGTGACATTTGACGCTGCTCTGCCCATTAAGCAGGGTCTTCATATACCCACATCAGGGGCCTGAGGACTGGTGGCTCCACCCACGCCATCTAGCCATCTGCAACAGGGGCCCAAGAATAAGTGGTGCCCTCTAGTCCTTACAGCCAACAGCACTGGGTGCCCATAGTGTGGCTGCAAAACACACCCTCCTATGTGCTCTAGG